CGTGGGATATTTGTAGCAAAATTCAGTGCGGCTTTGAAAATGCATTCCGAGCTGACCATGCCCACCCTTCGTCAATCATAGTTTCAAGGCAGGGATTGGCCGAAGCACGTTACATTTGGATCGTTTGAAACATGGCGACTGGAGATCTGATAAGATCGTTGAATTTACTGGCAGATGAAGTGGAGCGTGATTAGAGAAATATATGGCACGTACTCCGTGCTAAAAACAAAAGTTCGAACGACCGACCGACCGATCGAACGTCAAACTGAACGTCTTGAGATTTGAGCGTCTTACACTGCGGGTGACCCACGTGACGACCAGACGTGAAGTCAGCGTCTTGAAATTAGCTGGTTTTTAAACATTTAAGGAGCCAAGCTGCTGTGTAAAGACTATAAAATGGATATTACAAATAAAGATATTTTATCAATATTATTTAATGATAGAACTTTAGTAATTAGAATTAAAACTTGATAACCATGTATGAATGCATATTAGTCATTTTAACTGAACTTCGGACTGGTGGTGGTGCTTTTTTGGTCATTCATTGTTTCTGTAAAAAAATTAATTGGGGAAAAACTAACAAAGATACTGATAAGATAATAATGATACGAATTCTACTAATAAGAACAATATAAAACGCACCAAGGATTAATGAGCTACTGGATTCATGAATATTAATCAGGTTGTGTGCGTTCGCTCGAACTGATTTGCTGAAATCAAAACAGGGACGATAATAGGTGAGCACCAGCCAATGAGATTGCCATTTGTGCATTAGTTCCACCCACTACCGGAGAAAGCGGTAGTTCTTAAAAGCTGAAGAATTCCAAAGGAACTCCGCTATTTTGACAGCAAAATACAACAAAGAATATCGTTTACATGTAGCGCGCATGTAATGTAATGTAAGTGATTTATTCGCAATGTAGAGGGTTGTGGTAGAACTTACTTTCCTACAAAATTCCATTGACTTTATCTGAGCAATGAAGGCCGTAATACTTAATTCTGTCCACTAGAGGAGGAACAGAACAAGAAATCTTTCAGTCTAGGCTACTCTTTCTCCGTTTACATCAGTTTAAATGACAAATAAATGCATGAATTACATTTGTACTGCCATGAATAGGCCATATCAGTGTACAAGAACAAGTTTCACACTTCAAGCTGTAAAACTACTTAAAGCTTTCCATTCGGGTTTCCTCAAGCCTACTTCAAAATTTGTTCACAGACTTCACTCTCTAGTTTCTTTTAAGATGTTGTTTATTCACACGGTTTTATGCATTTAATTTTATGCATCCAGCTGGGACTTTTATTTGTCATGAGCTCATTTTAAGATGTACAGGTGTTGATAAATCACATTCAATTAATGTGAAGAGCTAATGTCACTGTTCTCAGTCCTGCTCCTGGAGGGCTAATGTCTGTTTTTACGCTAAATTTGTTTTCCTTTCCTTTCATAAAGTACAGAGGTTGTCGGCTCTTGTGCAAAATAATACGAGTGGTCCTCCATTTGTTCAAATACTTCTTACACTTCTACGAACGACCTCTGCTTCTAATTAACCACACGACGACTACTAATTTGTGCATATTCAACATAGCGCCGATGCAAGCTGCCTCTAAAAACACAAGGAAGAAACGAAGAAAAACAACAGTGACGAAACACACTCTTGTAGAGTAGTTTGTCCGTTTAGGGCTACTGTAGAAACATGGCAGCGCAAAACGGCGACTTAACCATAGAGGGGGACCCGCAGTGTACGTAGATAGAAATTGCTTATTCTAAGGTAATTAAAATATAACTGAATTTTGTAAGGTATTTATACACCACTGAAAACATAGTTTAGTATGTTACATTGCATTTCTGTAAACAGATTCTCAAAAATATTACACATTGCACCTTTAAATGCGGCATCCAGAACAGGTCTACAATCTCCTATTTACTTTGCATCTGCTACAATGCAAAACAACACGCATTTCTCAACATCAATGTTAACAAATGAGAGTTCACATCGGAAACATGAGCAGCATCACATTTCCAATGCATACACTCTTATTTACATTGTCAACACATTTGTTGTTCATCCTGCACTACTCACAGATACCCACTGTTGTTGCACTTGTGAGCGATCTCTAAACGGTCAGGACGCTGCGCTTGACTTGCGCTTTTTTCACATTAGGCATGGGACGATAACCGGTTTCAAGGTATACCACGGTTTGGAAAAGTAACGGTTTCAAAACCACAAAATTTTTCCGTTATACCTTTCCTGTGGTATGCAGTTTTTTTTACGTGTCATCAAAGACAAAGTGCAGGACTCCCTCACTTGTGTGCAGCGAAGAGCGTAACGAGTCACACGACCCCTCCCCCTCCCCCTCAGGTTGGTGCGAGCCGTCAGTGAGAGTCAGCTGTGTGTGGGAACTTTTTCCACCGTCGAAGATGATGTCTGCCGTATGGGAATTTTAGCGCCGATTGCTAAGTAAACACCGTTTGAGTGTTGTACAGAGAGAGACCATGTGTGTGTGTGTGTGTGTGTGAGACACTCGCACTCTCTCTTTCCTTATGTGTATGTGCACACATCCTTGTACCTCACCGCTCCAAACTTAATCCAGGAAAGGTAAACATTCCTGCATCATAACTTGGGACTGAAAGAGGAATGCGTAGAAAGTGAGCATGTCTTCAAAAACCTTGTTGGGCTGCAGGTTTAGGTTGAGTCTTGTTGAGCTTTTTTTAAATTTATTTTTTACAGAAATTATGTTTTGATTTATGTTTTTGATTATTGAGCTGCAGGTTTAGGCTCGCTTAAGTGACTGCATTTTTGTTTTCCATTTAAAAGGATTTTTATTTTATTTTTTTACAGAAAATAACTTATGCTCTAATTATTGTTGAGCTGCAGGTTTAGGCTCACTTAAGTGGCTGCACTTAATTTAATTAAGGAGAATTCAATTATTTATTTTAATTATTTAGCCTGACATGTTTACTGTTCCAAAATGTTTTGTTTCTTAAAAATAAAATGTATTGTGTTCAGTGGGAAAACAAAAGTTGTTTTTTACCCAGACATTTAAAAAATAACATATTTTAGAGCTGTAATCACAATACCGTGATATTTTTATCTAAGGTTATCATACTGTCAGAATCTCATACCGGCCCATGCCTACATCACATTATTTACAGTGATTTTTGCAAGGCCATTCGGTGTAGAGCAGAAATTACACACTTTAAAGAAAAATGTAAAGCATGATTTAACTTCAGCGTAGCGATTATTAAGTGAGCTGCTGAATTACAATCATTGGCCTCAACTGGTTAAGTCTTTTGATGTTTGTAATACTGTTTTGGCTTAAAGGCTTCAGCAGTACAAGCTTTCCAGCAATAACTCTCCTTCCGAACAAGGTTCATCAAGTGCTCATCAAACATTAGACAGAACTGCCCGTTTACTTATATCATAACCTTTCTTGACACAGTTTCTTCTTCATAGCTGTCACTCTTTAAATAAGTGAATGGAGAAATTCTGGTGCACCCAAGATTACCCAGAGACCCCCAGTGCTATGCGAACCATGAAGAATACACAAGGATGGTCACGCAATTATGAACCCCTCCTCCACTCCCCAGTTGTGAGGCTTTATGAAATATTAAAGCCAACTAGCTGTCGCAGGATGCTCCCTGAGGCACAGGCAGTCGTGCTTTTTATTAGTGCACTGAACTACAATTGATGTCAAGTTTCACAGGGTGTAATAATTTTATTTGATCGCATATTGATATCTACCCATTTCACAGCAAACACTTACCATATTTTCAGGAATATAAGTCACTTTTTTAAAATCATCTGAAACATTCTGCAACTTGTATTCCAAAGTGGCTTATATAACGCAATTAACGCCAATCATGCAAAGCATGCACAAAGTGAAGCCATTAGGACTCATGCCGAATGAGAGACGTAGGTGAGCCCACATTTATTTGTATACAGGTGCATCTCAATAAATTAGAATGTCATGGAAAAGTTCATTTATTTCAGTAATTCAACTCAAATTGTGAAACTAGTGTATTAAATAAATTCAATGCACACAGACTGAAGTAGTTTAAGTCTCTGGTTCTTTTAATTGTGATGATTTTGGCTCACATTTAACAAAAACCCACCAATTCACTATCTCAACAAATTAGAATATGGTGACATGCCAATCAGCTACATCAACTCAAAACACCTGCAAAGGTTTCCTGAGCCTTCAAAATGGTCTCTCAGTTTGGTTCACTAGGCTACACAATCATGGGGAAGACTGCTGATCTGACAGTTGTCCAGAAGACAATCATTGACACCCTTCACAAGGAAGGTAAGCCACAAACATTCATTGCCAAAGAATTTGAGTGAACTTCACAAGGAATGGACTGAGGCTGGGGTCAAGGCATCAAAGATCCACCACACACAGACGTGTCAAGGAATTTCGCTACAGTTGTCGTA